ATGTTTACAATGCCAGTCATGAGTTCCCTCCCATTGAGAGGGCTACAAGTCCAATTAGATAGCTGTTGATTACTCCCAAGATAAAAGTGCCACTGCTGCACCACTATAGTTTGTTGTGCTGGTCACTGTTGTGGTTATTAGGCTTTGAATCTTGGATTGAACCACTGATTTTTCTCTCTTAGCAGCTTGCATACTATCCTCTAGAACTATAAGAGCTAGTCTTTAGGGAGAAGGCTACCAGGTCAGTTCGAGTTTCATTGCTCCAAGTCCTGTGTCCTATGTATGTTCCATATTCAGCAATAGGGTCTTACCTTCAAGTTCTGGGAGGTAATCACAGGCTGTGGCAATAGCCTGTGCTATTTGGGAAGTTTCTTGGACCACCATGATCAACAACTAGAAGGAAGGTTTCTCCTGTCTGGCACTGTGTTTCTTGCTATCTAGCCTTCAGAGATATACATGCACTCATGTTCAGATAGCGCATGTGTATTTTTCAGTAGGTTTTTGAGTTAATACATTTCCTTCTGGTTTTTCAAACCACCAAAGCTTTATTTATCTCTCTTCTCTTCTTACCTAACCTCCCTCCTCCCTCACCAGTTAAAGCACCCCCATTTTCCCCTTTATAATACCTGTCTCCTATTATCCCCCCTCTCCTGAGTTCCTTCTTCCCCTGTGCCCCCATGGTTCCTTTTATGTCTTTCCCTCCTTCCTTCCCAGTTGAATACCCCCATTATCCCCATTTCCCCCTTGGTAACATGTTTCCTACTATCCTCCTTTTTCAGGTTCTTTCTGAGAGATGCCCAGCCATAACTGACACATTTACAATGAAAATCTACACCTAAGGCTCATGGAACATAGCAGAATAGGTGGTAGAGAGAATTCTACTGCAGAGTGTGTTTCCCTGGATAGGACTCCTATATTAAACCTTACCCACCCATGCATGGCTCAGGGACCATTGTAGAAGAGGGGGTGGAAAGATTCTAAAAGCTAGGGTTGGTGCATGAACATAAGAAAAAGACACTTTCAGGCTCATATTAACTTGCAGCAATGGTGACAGCACGCACCACAACCAGGGTGACTGAATCAGACAAACACCCAGCATAGAACTGGGGAAATGTGAGGAACTATTGGCAACTGATTACTGTGCGGTGAGAGTGTTAATCTTTAAGAGAGTGACTCTAGATAGGCTGACTAGACTCCAGTGGATGAACTTGCACTGAGGGACATCTAAAGCTTAACCAGATAGGGCTTAAAATATGATAAAATCTGTAAAATCTGGTGGAGGGGTTATGGGGCAGTGCGGATGGGGTGGGGGTTGTCTAAATATGATTAAGATTTATTGGATGAAATGCACAAAAACAGTAAAAAATATTCATCAAAAAATAAAACAGAAAAGATCTCTCTCTCTCTCTGTCTCTGTCTCTGTCTCTCTCTCTCTGTGAAATGCTATTTTTAAACTAAGCTGGAGAGCTGAGGAAGTAGCTCAGTTAAAAGAGTGCTTGTCTAGCATATATGAGCCCTGGGTTCCATTCCTGCACCACATAAACCTGGCAGAGCCACTGATGGTAAGAGCAAAGTAAACCAATCACTGACTTGCCACTGTGACTTCAATGGTAGTGCTGATGCTCCTGGAAGTGTGAGTCAGTTCCATCACTGCTTATAACTCCTGGGAAGAAAGTATGACAGCCTCTGAGGACTGCTAGAAAACCAGGGCAGCTGTTGCAAGATTCATTCCTCAAAGAGGAAAACACTTTTGTAGATGTTCAGGCGAGATGACTACTACAATATTATTTTGAAGCTAATATAAAAGAAAAAGAACAAACTCATGACAGAAGTCACTAGACTGATAATAACGTCTGATTTTAACAGTAAGAAAAAAAAAAATCTACCAGAGCTGACCACTTACAAATTAGGAACTCTGCCTGGAGTGCAGGCACACACCTTTAATCCCAGCACTTGGGAGGAAGAAGCAGTGTATCCTTGTGATATCAGAGCCAGCCTGGTGTACATAGCGAGTTCCAGGACAGCTTGGTTTACAGATAAGCCTCAATCCACACACCCCAAAAATACCCAGAAAACAAAAAATCCAAACCAAACAATAACAACAATGAAAAACTAGGAAAATCACAACTGTGTGGAAGATCTCTATTCTTCAACATTAACATATGTACCTTTTTTATGCTGTATAAATTATAAACTAGTTTTACCCAGGCGTGGTGGCACATGCCTTTAATCCCAGCACTTGGGAGGCAGAGGCAGGCTGATCTCTGTGAGTTTGAAACCAGTCTGGTCTACATAGCAAGTTCCAGGCCAGCTGGGGCTACAGGGAGACCCTGTCTCAAAAAAAAACCAAAAAAAATTAAAAGAAATAAAAATAAATTAAAAAAAAATTATAACCCAGTTTCATCTAACATGAAAAATATCCTGCAAGAACCATTATGAGCAGTTCTTATGCCATAAGGTAAATAGTATCCAATTTATTTAGAAACCTTTTGACATCTACCAGGTTTAAGGCCCCAGAAAAACTATGGAGGCCAGGAGTCTAACAATGGGAGAGCAAGTGTTTAGCATGTATAAAGCCCTGGGTTTGTCCCTAGTACCACTGAGAAAGACAAAGGTAAAGGAGGGGGATAGGAAGGGAAGGAAGGAGGAAAGGGATAGGGAGGAAAGAAGGGAAGGAGGGAGGAAGGTGGGAGGGAGGGAATCCTGACACAGAGCTTTTAAAAATCAGGTAGAGCCAGGCGTGGTGTTAGACGCCTTTAATCCCAGCACTCAGGAGGCAGAGGCAGGCAGATCTCTGTGAGTTCGAGGCCAGCCTGGTCTCCATAGCAAATCCAGGCCAGCTGGGGCTATAGGGAGACCCTGTCTCAAAAAGACCAAAAAAAAAAATCAGGTAGAATAAACAGTTAGGAAACTGAAAGAAACTATCAAAAAACAGGAGTTCTTGATTTCTATTCTGCTTGTATCTTCCCCAAGAAGGTAAGATGGGTGAGGGGCTGGAGAGATGGTGCAGTGGTTAAGAGCACTGACTGCTCTTGCAGAGGACCCGGGTTTAATTCCCAGAACCCACATGGCGGCTACAAACCATCCTTAACTCCAGTTCCAGGGAAATCCGAAGCCTTCTTCTGACCTCTGCAGCATTGCATGACATGGGTGTGCTCACCTACATGCAGGCAATACATTCAAACACATAAAATAAAAATAATAAAATATTTTTAAAAAAAAGATAAGATGGGTGAATCACTGAACTTTCACTGTATGTCTTATGTAAACCACACACCATGCCACACTTCTACATCTATTATTTCACATAACTCTCACAATGAATCTGAATGTACCATAGAAGTATCTAAGACCAAGAGGTTAAATAACCCAGCCTAAACTCACAGGGCAAGTGCAGATCTGAGATGCAAATCTCAGTCTACGTAATTCAAATTAAGTTATCGCCAAGGCTCCTTTTCAGAACTAAAATTCTGAGACTAATTTAAAATGTGAGGAAAAAAAAGTCAACATGATTAAAGAGATAACGGTATATATGCCATTTCCCTTCAAAACCTAAATGGTCCTGCCCCTAAATTCTGAAAATATCCTACCCAAACCCAAAGTCAAGGCCAATGTTACATCCCTGGGACAAAGTTGAGTAACACAATTTCAGTTTAACAAGCTGTAAATAACAAGCCTATAAATGGACATTATTATAAAACTACGTAAATATCCAAAGATGAACAAAGCATAAGATTTTATACAAAAATTTTATTCATATCATCCTCACAACACTTCATTAAATATTAAAGTTAAGATTTAAGAATAACTAGCAAGGTTTTGTAGAATATTTTGGTACAATTATATACATTAAGAAGTTAGGACGTAGGGTTAGAAAGATGGCCCAGCAGTTCAGATCTGGTACAGCTCTTACAGAAGACTTAAGCTCAATTCCCAGGACCTACACCAGACAGCTCACAACTACCTGTAACCCTAGCTCCAAGGGATATGACACCCTCTTCTGGCCTCTATGAGCACTGCATTCATATGCCCAAACCCACACTCAAAGACACACATATACACATAATTTAAAATAAAATATTTTTAAAAAAATGTTTTGGGGGCTGTTGAGATGGTTCAGCAGGTAGTCACTTTGCCTCTATGCCTGATGGTCTGAGTTTGATGCCTGGAACTCACCCGGCAGAAGGAAAGAATCAACTGAAAGTTGTCCTTAGACCTCCATTCAAGGATGCATACACATAATAAATGTTAAAAAAAAATTTTTTTAAAGAAGTTAGGACTCGCAGCTCAGTGATACATCATGCAAGGCCCTGGGTTGAATCTCCAACAAAGAAGAGAGAAGGAGAAGGGGGAGTTGGAATTTCATCTGATGCCAAGATACATTATGTCATTTTACTTTTCCTCTTACAGAGTATAAAATAAATTACTATGCAAATTATGTCTAGGAAAATGCCCAAATCTACTTATATATAGTAAAATCAAAGATTAATTTTTTTCCAGAAATAACTTGAAGCAGGTTACATACAAATATATATATACAATGAAGTTTAAGGGGGGGAAAATAAGAATAAGAAATCAAAGACCAAAGGATTTGCCAACATGGGGTCAACTTTGGTGGAATAATGAAGGTGTTCATTAGCTCTGTCTCTTTGTGTGTGTGTGTGTGTGTGTGTGTGTGTGTGTGTGTGTGTGTGTGTAAATCCAAATGAGTTTACTGGGCTTGCTAACAGAGCACAGGGTGAGGGTTTATTTACAGAAGAATGGGCATCCCCCAATTTTTAATTTTTCCAATTCAACTTTAAGAAACTTAGATATTTAGCTGAATATGGTCATACACACCTTTAATACCAGCACTCAGGAGGCAGAGACAAGTGGATCTCTGAGATCCAGGTCAACCTGATCTACATAGTGAGTTCCAGGCAAGCTGGGGCTACAGGGAAACCCTGTCTCAAACAAGAAAAAGGAAATTAAACATTTAATACTTACATGCATTAACTCACCTGCATAAGCAATAATCCAACTATAAAAGCGCTTCCCTGACAGTAACCAACCTCACGATCCACTAAAGAATAAGCCTAAAAAGAAAAAAATGGCTCAAAATACATCAACATGGTATATTTTCTCTTCTCCAAAAGCCTAAAATTGGAGAGACACTTAAATTAGAAGTCCATTCCTTTATTTATTTTAGAAAAGCTCTTGCATGCTTGTTGCAGATATGAACCTATAAATATTTAAAAAGCAAATGGTTACTAAATAAAATTTCTTTGACAATGTCCCAATTAGAGAGTCACAGCTCCTAAGGACAAAGAAAATAAGGCAATTTATACTTAGGAAGATGGCAGTACAGGAAAAAAAAAAAGAACAACAAAAAACCACATATACTTTTTGTCTGATAGAAATAAAACAAAACAGCCAGGCATGGTGGTACACACCTTTAATCCCAGCACTTGGGAGGCAGAGGCAGGTGGATGTCTGTGAGTTCAAGGCCAGCCTGTTCTACATAGTGAGTTCCATGACAGCTGGGGCTACAGGGAGACCCTGTCTCAAAAGACAGAAAAAAAAAAAAAAGGGCTGGAGAGATGGCTCATCGGTTAAGAACACTGACTGTTCTTGCAGAAGACCGGGTTCAAATCCCAGCACCCACATGGCAAGTAACAACTGCCTGAAACTCCACTTCCAGAGGATCCAACAAACTCTTCTGTCTGCTGTAGGCATTGCACAACACGGGTGCACTCACATACATGCAGGCATGACACTCATATACATAAAATAAAAAATAATAATAATATAATTTTTAAAAAAAAAGAGCCGGGTGTGGTGGCCCATACCTTTAATCCTAGCACTTGGGAGGCAAAGGCAGGCAGATCTCTGTGAGTTCAAGGCCAGCCTGGTCTATATAGCGAGTTCCAGGACAGCTGGGGCTACAGGGAAACCCTGTCTCAAAAAGACCAAAAAAAAAGAAATAAAACAGAACAGTTAAGGCAAAACAGCAAAACTGAAGTCACTTAAGAAACTGGTATTTCTGGTATTTGGGAGAAGCTAGCAGACAGCCTGAGAGGGTAGGTTCCAAACTGTCTGTGTAGCAGCTGTGATCTCAGCAGACCACCAGAGAGTGCTGGGTTGTGGTCTCCCTCTGGCATAGGGGCTGAGAACACAGCAGACCAACTGAGAGTCCCAAAATTGCCCCCTCCTTTAGGGAATTCGCCAAATTTTCTCTGAGTTTCTGCCCACAGGGGGTCCAAACCTTAGAAAGAAGCCTGAGTGTACCTGACTGGAATCTGACTTGGGCTTCTATGGGTGTTCCTAAAGAGCTGATCTGAAGCCATCAGTTCCCTCCAAAATAAAACCTGAGAAAACCTGAAACCTGTACCAACCAGCTTTACAAAACCAATAAGGAAAGGACCTATGCATCCGGATAATACAAACAGAAGCATACTTCAACTTAATTCTCATATCAGAATCATAAACAAAAGTAATTCACATGCCAAAACCACAACAAAAGAATAATAAAATGGAAAGCCAAAACACTATGTCCCAACCAAACTCCACCAGTCCTGTAGAAGAGTTCAAGAGTTCTACAAGGAGAATCCCCTAGAGAAAAACTCAGGACACTCATAAACATAATCAAGGAATTCAACAAATATAAGAACACACGAACAAACATCAAAGAACTAGAAGAAGATAGGGATAAACTTCTGAATGAATTCACAAAAGAGAAACATTGAAGAAAACTCAGGCAGAAATGAAGAAGGAAGTGTAAAACTCAATAAGCCAACTTGAAACAACAGGGGAAAGCCTCACCTCTAGAATGAATGAAATGGAAAACAAAATCAACACTGGAGAAAAAAGTTGAAGAATTGGACCACTCAAACAAAGATTATGGAAAATTAATAAAAAAAAACACAAGGAATGGAATATGCAAGAGATGTGGGACACCATGAAAGACCAAATCTATGGATCATAGGAATGGAGGAAGGAGAAGAATTTCAGGTTAATGGTACTGACCAGATCTTAAACAAGATTGAAGAAGAGAATTTACTGAAATTAAGGAAAGACATCCCCATACAAATACAGGAAGCCCATAGAACACCAAATAGACAGGATCAGAAAGGAAACTCCCCAGGTCATACCAGAGTAAAAACACTAAATGTACAGAACAAAGAGAATACTGAAAGCAGCAAAAGAAAAACAACAAGTCACATACACAGGAAAGCCCATCAGAATTACAGCTGACTTATCAAAGCACACTGTGAAAACCAGAAGAGCCTGGACTAAGGTTTTCCAGTTCTACATGACAATAGATGCCAGCCCAGAATACTTTACCCAGCAAGGGGGAAAGAAAAATCTTCCATGACATAAAAAGCCTGAAAGAATACATGTCCACAAAAGCAGCCCTTCAAAGAATACTTGAAGGAATACACAGAGCAGAGAGTGAAATAACTTTACGCCAGGGGCAAGGAAGGACAATAAATAAGGTTTAATCTAGGAAACACAAAATTAGACAGAGAACACAAACAACAATCAAAATGATGGCAACCAATATACACCTTTAAATAATAACCTTAAACACCAATGGACTGAACTCCCCAGTCAAAAGACACAGGCTAAGGGAATGGATTAAGAAACAAAATCCTTCTCTTTGCTGTCTGCAAGAAACCCATCTCACCTTCAAGGACAGGCACTAACTTAAGGTAAAAGGATGAAAAGAATATTCCAAGCAAATGGCTTACATTAAAAAATTAGAGCCCGAATAAATGACCTAACTCTGCAACCTTCAAAGTAAAACAAATCAGAAGAGATAAGAACGATCACGTCATTCTGATCAAAGGAACAGTTAACCAAGAAGATATTACAGTCCTTAACATATACGCACCAAATTCTGGTGCACCCAAATTCATAAAAACAACACTACAGGACTTTAAGACACAGATTAACTCCAACTCAGCAATAGTAGGGGACTTCAATACCCCACTGTCTCCATTAGACAGGTCAACTGGACAAAGAAAACAGGGAGATGGTTTAATTAAATGACACCATACATCAAATGGGCCTAACAGACATCTTTTGAATATTCCACCCAATCACCAAAAAATACGCTTTCTGCTCAGCAGCCTATGGAATTTTTTCAAAAATTGACCACATACTGGGACACAAAACAAACCACAACAAACACAAAAAATTGAAATAATTCCATGCATTCTATCGGACCACAATGAGATAAAGCTCAAAATCAACACTGGAAAAAGCCCTAGTCACTATACGAACTCAGGGCGATTAAACAACACACTGCTAAACACTGAGTGGGTCAAAGGAGAAATTAAGAAAGAAATAAAAGAATTACTAGAATTCAACGAAAAGGACAATACAACACAACACAACCTCGGGGACACTTGAAAAGCAGTCCTAAGAAGGAAGTTTACAGTTCTAAGTGCCTACATTAAAAAATTAGAAAGAGCCCAAATAAATGACCTAATGCTACAACTCAAGATGCTGGAAAAGCAAGAACAAATGAAACCCAAACCCAGCAGAAGAGAAGAAAAAACAAAAATCAGAGTAGAAATTAATGAAATAGAAATGTTTAAAGAAAATAAAAAAAGAATCACTGAATCTAAGAGCTGGTTCTTTCAAAAGCTAAACATAGACAGACCCTTAGCCCAGTTAACCAAAAGAAAGAAAGAGCAAATCCAAATCAACCCACAACAAAATCAGAGATGAAAGGGGAAACATCACAACAGACACCCAAAAGATCAAGACCATTATACATGAATATTTTAAAAACCTATATGCTACTAAATCTGAAACTCTAAAAGAATTGGATATCTACAGTCATGGAACCACCAAAGTTAAACCAAGAAGACAGCAACAGTTTAAACAGACCCATAACAAACAAGGAAATCAAAACAGTAATACAAAGCCTCCTGACTAAAAAAACCAGGCCCAGATGGATTTACAGCAGAATTCTACTAGACATTTAAAGAAGACCTCTAACCAATACTACTTAAATTATTCAAAATGATAGAAACAGAGAGAGAATTCCCAAATTCCTTCTATGAAGCCAGCAGCACTCTAATACCCAAACCGAATAAAGACACAACCAAAAAAGAAAACTACACACCCATGTCCTTAATGAACATAGATGCAAAAAATTTTCAACAAAATACTTGCAAACTGCCTACAGATGTACATCAAAAAGATCATTCACCACGATCAGGTAGGCTTTACTCCAGAGATGTAGGGATGGTTCAATATACACAAGTCAATAAACGTCATTAATCATATAAATGGACTCAAAGACAAAAACCACATTGTAATCTCAATAGATGCAGAAAAGGCTTTTGACAAAATTCAGCATGCATTTATGTTCAAAGTACTAGAGGGAACTGAACTGGAGGGAACATACCTCAACATAATTAAAGCTATATA